TATCATTTCTATTATTAGAAATATTTCTTAAAACACCTACCATTTGTCTGAAATTTTTATTTATTAGTCATTTGTATGACTGAAGAGCAGAAGTCACAGAAATAAGACTTCTTCATCTACCAATTAAGAAGCTGAAATAAGTATTCTGTAGCAATAAACCAGCAGCTCCCCTGTACTAACTGCCCCATGCACTGTTTGCAAAGATATATTGGCTGTGTGAATACCTGATGCTACTTATCAACATTCAAATGTAGAACAAGCAAACCTAGATTTCAAATAATGCTCTTCAAGTGAACCTCATCATCTTACTAAGCAACAAAGGTATGCTCACTCCTATGAAATCAAATTACACTTATTTCCACTTTTGACAAAAAAATGACTAAAATGTATCCCTATGGGTATCCTGTAAACTTCATGAAGAAGTACTTAGCTTCTCTACAATAAATCCTGATATTTACTAAACAGCTATTCCCAGAGAGGAGCCAAACTTACTTACTGAGTATTAAGAGCATAACATTAGTTATCAGATAGCCCTAGATTCTAATCTGTCACTAATACAAGTTAATATTCACCGAGTATCTAACAAAATTTTTAAAAACCAGTAATGGCATCTTTCTTAAGCATTTACTCTGTGATAGGCTCAGATCCCATTGATCAACTGCAGACAACTGAAGAGAAATAAACTGTCCTTAAACACCAACATCCATGTGACATCACTTACCACACTCACTGCCTTTCATAAAATATGTTCCATAAACACTCTTTCTGGACATCACTTAGACACCTAGAACTGGTTTCCAATGTTTGATCCAAGATGTGGTAGTTTCCTTTATTTCAATCTTGCTTCTGTCTTTGTTTCCACCTTGTCACATTCTGAGATCCACAGATGAGCTTCCATTTTTGCTTTGAACAGTGTGTGTGGTATACACACACACACACATACACACACATATATACATATATGTGTATATATATATATGTGTGTGCACATATAAAAAAGGAAGAAAAGAGAAAATAATTATGAAAATCTACGAGAAGGAAACAAGGGATGCCTGGAGAACCGGCACAAAGCGCGCTACGCCCCCGCCAACTCCAGCTATTTCGGTTTCCGCATGTCAAGACAGCATCTTCTGCCAAGAGTAACGTTCTCTGCAAAGTCTACTGAGGCACATTGACTAGATTTCAGAGTGTCCTTTTAAGCTCAAAGTTTGAAATCATCATGTTCAGACAAGGTCCTATGTCATCATAAACCTAGCCAAGGCCTCTGCGATATGATCTTGTTTTAAAAAACAAGATTATTTTACCTGGTGTGGTTTGTTTCTTTCCTAAATGTAGTTAAGTAATATTTTCAGCCTTGTTGCAGCATTACTGGGTAGGATCCACATTGACACATCAGAAAATTCAGTAACCACATTCTCTCTTTCTTTCAGAGTCATCAATTATGTGGGCAAAAAGGCACTGCATATGACTGAAAAAGATTCAACAAAAAAAAATCCATGATAAGATGATTTACTTTATCTAAGAAAATTCAAATTCTGAACATTTTTATATTTATGGCCCATCCCAAGGGAGTTAGAATTCAAAGATGAATAAAACAGAATCTGGCAATATATTATAAACTCAATAACATGTATCTGAACACTTCATAATACAATAGAGGTTTGTAACTGACTACCTGCTGAAATGATTAATAAGTCTTTTTTGATATTGTGTTTTTTTCTGGTCTTTGCAGGATTTTGAAAATTCTACCATTTTCACATAATCCCATAAGTTACTCCTGTAAGTAAAGACGATAACCCTATATGCAAAACAGAAAAAGAGTCACAGATGTACAGAACAGACTTTTGGATCCTGTGGGAGAAGGCGAGGGTGGGATGTTCTGAGAGAATAGCATTGAAACAAGTACACTATCAAGGGTGAAACAGATCACCAGCCCAGGTTGGATGCATGAGACAAGTGCTCAGGACTGGTGCACTGGGAAGACCCAGAGGGATGGGATGGGGAGGGAGCGGGGATCAGGATGGGGAACACATGGAAATCCATGGCTGATTCACGTCAATGTATGGCAAAAATCCCCTATAATATTGTTAAGTATTTAGCCTCCAACTAATAAAAATAAATGAAAAAATGTTTTTTTAATTTAGCTCAGTTAAAAAAAAACCAGGAGTTTTGTTTACAAAAGTTAAAAATTTTTTATCTCACTTAAATGTGGAATCTAAAGAATCTGAAAACTAGAATGGTGATTGCTGCCAGGGGCTTAGCGGGTAGAAGAAATGAGGATATGCTGATCAAAGGTAATAAACTTTCAATTTTATGATGAATAAATTCTAAGGATCTAATGTACAGCATGGTGACTACAGTTAATATATGGTACACTTAAAATCTGCTATGACAAATTTTACGTATAGATCTTAAATGTTCTTACTACCAAAAAAGTAACTCCGTAAGGCAATAGATGTGCTAACTCATCTTACTGTGGTAATCTTCTCACAGTATATACATTTTACAAGACATCATGCTGTGTACTTTAAAATTATACAATGCTATTTATTACTAATATATCAATGAAGTTGGGAAAAATTACAAGACTTCTAAAATTAGACATGATTACACGAGTGAGTACCAATGAGTCTATGGAAGCATGGAACTATGTCACATCTGACATGTTTCTATACCAAGTCCAGTTTCGCTATCACATAAGCACAGAATACCACAAACAACTCAAAACCAGAAAGGTAGTATAATTATTATATTCCAAATTCTTACTTCAATTTTAAAAAGTCCCAGAATTCTACTGAAAACTGTAAACCACAATAAAAATAGGTATTGCCATACAGTGTGCGTATCTTTATGGAGCCACAGTGAATGTAATGTGAACATTAAATTACATTAAATTACAGTAAATGTGAACAGGAAATTAGGAAGTTGTTGTCCAACTATGTTTTAGGTGAAACATGCACTCATTCAAATGCAGGTATGTAGGAGAAACTCTTAGGGACACCAAGTATTTACTTCCATGAGTGTCTGAAAACTGACTATGCTGGTAATCGTATGTGACCGCAAAAGAACTCTGTAGAAGCAGATCTAGCAATCCACAACAAAATATCCATACGTCTCTTACACCAAGTTTTCTTAGTATGTATTCTGCAATGAAGAGTTTTCAAAAAAACAATTCAAGTTCTAAGCAGAGAAAAATACTATTATCACCAAGCAAAAATAATGGAAGTAAGCTTTTTGCATAATCTAGGGTTCTTGCCATTCACTTCTAACTTTCAAAAGAGGCCATCTTTAGTTAATATTAGAGAACAAGTCATCTTCAAATATGCATACCGAAAGGCTATGCACACCAGCAGATCTATACAAGGATGAGTATTTTCCTTCCAAAGATATAAAAAAGTACCACAAATTATTTAAAGCTGATCCAGAGAGCAGGCTTGTCAGAAAATAACACTCTTTACATACTTTTTCTTCTAAAAAATGAGGGTTGTATATCTGTCATATATATCAGGGTCAATTTTCTCCTAAGAGAATGGTTTTGACTGCAGCGATCCAAATGCCTGGGGCTCTATTAATCACAAAGTTTCTTTGTAACATTCACAAACTCTAAAAAAATTATCACACGTATTATAAAATCTCATAAACCAAGGAAGGCTTGCTTGGCTGCTTTTGTTCCTTACCTGAAAGCGGCCATTAATCTTAAAAATTACTTTGGGATAGACCATATAAAGTTGGGGCCAGCACTTGTAGTCATTTTGAATGCCCCTCTTCTTCCAGAGACTGTTACTTGAAAGGCCATGATTTAAAAGCTGGAAAAGGTGACACAGATATAATCTCTGCTGATAAAATCAAAGCAGAAGACAAATTAGTCTACAAGTCTTAAATTATTAAGGAGTTATTACCAATCTCGAACTGTGGTGTTTTACAAGCTAAATTCCTACAATCAATAAGGACTCATTTATTGTCTAGTTGAAACATTAGCCATAAAACCTAAAACCTCCAACCTCTTCTTTTAAAGAGATTTCACTGTTCCATATCAACTCTAACTAGACCTAGATATTTATTATTTAACTGGAAGATATTGTCTACTTCTCTGAACTTCCCATACTCACTAAATGATGCAGCTGGATATGATTGTAACTGGCATCTTACAGAGTCAACTAGGTTCTTCCCTGGTAGTCCAGTGGTTAAGACACCATGCTTCCAATGTAGGGGGTGTGCATCTGATCCTTGGTCAGGGAACTAAGATCCTACATGCTGCACAGTGCAGCCAAAAAGGAAAATTTAAAGGAAGTGTCAGTCATATCTTAAGTAACACAACTGGTCTCAATATTCAATCTCCCCAGTTCCCAGGACCCATACTCTACCACTCATTTAAAAATTTGTAAATACTTACTCACTGGTAGGGAAGGACGATTACTCCAGGATCATGTCATCTCTCTGACCAGACAGTCACAAGGGCACTATGTCCAAAAAGCTCATCAACTGAAGCAAGCTTGCAAGGAAGGTAGAACCTTCCTATTTCAAACACTTTGATTGAAGAAACCAAAATCTAATTCAGTATCAGTTTCCTTCTATAGATGGCTGTACAAGGCACCACGTCCCTACTTTCCTTCAAGTATATGTGGCATGGTAAAGTAGAGAGGACAGTATAAAGTTTATTATGTGATACCAGCCAGTGTACAAAGTCAAAGTTGTGAAGCTAAAACACGTATCACAACCATTTTACCATAAGATATAAAGACAAAATTATTTAAATGAGTTGGTTAACAGGATTTACCTCATCGATAATAACTTCAAGACCAGAAAAATCCCAATCTTAACTCTCACCTCTAAAAAACATCAAAAGGCAAAAAATGTACAACAGTACCTCACAGTTTAATTGCTCTATGCATTTATTAGCTAATATTAATGGAACAGAGGGGACAAAAGCTCACAAACATTTCACACATTTCACAAGCTGCACTGCAGGACAAAAGTGACTAAGAAGGATCAACAGTATCCTAGGGTCTTGGTGGACGCATTCCTGGGGGAGGTGGACCTTGAAAAGAAAAAGCAAAATTCCATGAGATCATAAAAAAAATAGACAAACATAAATATTCAGGGGCCTGGCTAGTACCACTGAGAAATTTATTAATACTCACTCACCTCTTATCCCTGGTGGAGGGGGTCTCATTCCTGGAGGGGGCATGCCTATTGGCGTCCCACGAGTAGGAGGAAGCCCAATTGGTGGGCCCATGGGTGGTCTCATACCAGGTGGAGGAGCCATAATTCCTAGAAAGAAAAATGGCAGGAAAAAAAAGGCACATAATCAGCTAAGATGGTAGCATAAAGCACAAGATATCAGTTAAAGAAATAAGTCAGGTACTAGGTAAAGAGTTGAACAAATTTCTCCTTGACCATTGCTATAGCAGACCATCCCAATTCACGCTTTTCATTAAAAATCAATGGCCAAAGTGAAAACATATTCCAAGTTCCTAGGTAGGGAGTGAGGCTGGGCCTTAATTCAGTATCTTCTTAAAGAGTGCTTTTGGTCGTGATTTTTTTTCACAGATCCACATCTGTATCTAAGAACCAAATTATTTTACAATTCTTTTTAGAACCACATTCTCCATCGATTCCTTACCTGGAGGTGGGGTTGCTCGACCAACAGGTGTAGGTGCAGTCCCCCGTCCTGGTGGATACTGAGTTGGGGCTCCGGCAATGCTGGCAGTAGCAGCAACTGCAGCAGCTGCTACAGTGCCTCTTCCCTGTGGGGTCATTACCTGAGAAAGAATGCACAGACAGGCAGCAAATGTAAACACTTCCTCACATCATTCAAATATAGACAATAAAAGACTGATCATGCATTATTTATTAAACACAAAGTAATTATAGCAATTCTGCACTTCTCCCATTTTTCTCATTTAAAAATATCTTGGCACACTACCACCACTATCACACTATCCTTTAAAATGAACATGCCCGCTTTTAGCCTCATCAGCCCTTTGCATTCTCAACTCTGGTTTATCTATCCATATTCCTCTCCGCTCATCAACAGCGCTGAGTTACAGCCATCATGGTTTCATAATGTGTATTTGTACCTCTCTTCCTTCTACAGCATATACTGCTTTACACAGCACAGGATGTTCACTCAGTTTTTTCCACCTCCTCAGTATCAGATTCCAGACACTTCCTCTCAATAACAAACATTTCTCCGGGCCCCTCACCTGTTGTGACGGCCCCCCAACCCCTCGGACAGGGCCTGCTAATCCAGCAGGAGCCTGGGGAATTGGGACACCAGCTGGAACACCTCTGCCGGCTGCCCTGCCAACCCCAGGGCCCCCTGCAGCTCCAGCAAGTGGTACCCGAGCAATGCCAGTCTGAAACAAAAACATACGTATATAGCTTGAAATCAAATTTATGAAAGCCATCTATCAAAAATCTTTCCTAGGTAATTACCTCTTTCCAACATTTTCCCATATCACCTATCTTATATGAGGTTCTATATTCAAAATAGCATCAAGAGAAGCATCCTACAGATTAGACGTACACTAGTCAAACTGGGAGTCCATATATTTTCACAATCCTATCAAGAGAAAACAAATTAGTAACTCCTACCCTTAACTAGATTGTAGTCAGCACATAGAATCACTCATTAGAATATGCTTAATCTCCCATTATAGATAAACAAGAACTTATATCAAGTGCCAGGAACATTTTGACAAAGGTATAATGTACTTTGTCTCTGTTGTACGCTCATTTAGCAAATAATTCAAATAATGGGATTCCCTCCCACAGTAATGTTCTGTCCTGTCCTACATCTTTCTTACATCTTTGGGGGGTGGTCCCTCCACAGTCATGGAAACCAAGTTCTCCCCACGCAACAACACCAGACCCAAAACTCGCTTTTCTTCACGCTCTGGCTGCTTAGCATTCTTTGGCCTATAAATAGGAAGAAAATTTTAGTATGATAAGTTATGGATCGACTCACTAACATTTTTATAGATCTTTATGTATCAAGACATTAATCCATGCCCAGACACTCATGCTCAGTTACTGAGTTGTGACAAAAACAAAGAAAACTGGACTCGATACATATAAAGGTGAGCTCTTTTCCTACCATACATCAAACTTCCAGAATATTCCCTCAATGTTATATTGTAGCAAAACTAATTTCTTCTTTGTGAAACACAGATGCAAATAACATTGCTAAGATTCTTTTAATAGTTGTTGCTATTGTTCAGTCATGTCCGACACTGCGACCCCAGGAACTGCAGCACAACATGCTTTCCTATCTTTCACTGTCTCCCAGAGTTTGTTCAAACTCATGTCCATTGAGTCAGTGATATCATCCAATCATCTCATCCTCTGCCACCTCCTTCTCCTCCTGCCCTCAGTCTTTTCCAGCATAAGGGTCTTTACTGATAGCAGAACTTGGAATTTTATCTTCTTCCTTCCAGTTTTACTGACATGTAATTGACAAACCCTACTGTATTAAGTTTAAGGTGTATAGCATAATGACTGACTTACTTCATGAAATGACTACCACAATAATTTCAGTGGACCTCCAACATGTCTTACAGATACAAAAGAAAAAAATGTTTTTCCTTGTGATGAAACTCTTTTAACAACGTTCATATATAACATACAGCACTGTTAATCTCATTTCTCATGCTGTGCATTACATCCCTTGTACCTAATTATCTTAAAAATGGAAGTTCGTAATTTTTAACCACTTTCATCCAATTCACCCCACCACCTCCTGCCTCTGGCAGCCACAAATTTGATCTCTTTTTCTGAGTTTGTTTTTGAAGTATAATTGACACTACATTATTTTCTAATGCACTGCACAGTAGTTCAATTATTTCTATTATAAAGAGATCATTATAAAGTGATCAACACTGGCTAAGATTTTGAAGTTAGGCAACATTGAAACTTTTCATGTTAAGATAGGATTTAAATCATTTTTAACTAAATAAGTAAATATTGATGACAGACAACTGAAATAAGGGATGAGAACAGCAACAGGCAATGACAGCCTAATAGCAGACACCTGTTTATTCCTAGACTTACCACATACTATATTACCACGGGAAGTGGCTTCCCAGGTGGTGCTAGTGGTAAAGAACCCATCTGTCAATGCAGGAGACATAAGAGACGTGGGTCTGAATCCTGGAAGATGGCAACCCACTCCAGTGTTCTTGTCAGGAGAGTCTCATGGACAGAGCAGCCTGGCAGGCTATAGTCCATTGAGGTGGCAAAAAGTTGGACACAACCAAAGTGACTGAGTATGCATGCATATAATCAGGGGAAATCTTTTTGAAAACTTTTTGAACCTCTGTTAGTCATTTCCTCATGTGTCGGCAGCAAAATTCATGCAACTTCTACCATATAATATAGATAGTGCCTTATTTAGGTGAAATTATCCCTAAAACTTACTGAAGAATGAGACATAAACTAAGGATATACCTAAAGCACTCTCAATTGTCTTTAGTATTTATCAAAGTTGTAATTTAAAATCCTTTTCAGTAAAAATGTAGATTATTTAAACAAAACCTTAACATTGATCATTAACTTAGCATTCATCATCTAGAATTTCTGAAATGATGCAACTTCATGTGCAGGATGAAAATTAAGAATAAATAAAAATGGAAGGACAAGGAATATGTTATGGATTCTATTAAGATTTGAGAAGAACAGACATGTATAGCAGACAGGCAAAGCTCATTATCACCTTTCTCTTCATACAGAAAATTCTAAGTGAAGTGGTCAAATTAAATTTTTGGACAATGTATCATCAACTGTGGGAACAGAAGAAAATCAAGCCAATGGTCAATGTAAATTCTGCCCCTAGATAATAGCCTGAAACAAAACCATTCTGAACATCTACAGATATTACAGTGCCCCAAATACTCTGCCCCAAATACTCTGAATGAAAAGTCAATAGAGTATAATGCCTCTGGGATCTCCCTAGTGCCATGCTCTTATTGTTAAAGGAAGTTCTTCAAACACAGGTGCAAAGAGGGCAGTGTCGTAGGTAAGGCACAAGCATATGGAAGTTATTTCTGGACAAAAAGCATGGACAAACCCCCAAAACAAATGAGCAAGGGAGGTTAGATGCTGACGCCAAATCAACACTGACCACGCAAGTTCAGACAAAACAAGGGGCAGGCAAAGAGGCTGGCTGAACAACTGCTAGACCAGGCCTGAATTACTCTATTCTCATTTCAACTCCTCAACCATGAAGAGTAATTGTGACTCTTACGATTCCTTCGATCTCAATTTTCTAAATAAATATAAATTGTTATTCTAAGAGTAGCATTCAGCTTTTTTTCTCAGTTTTAGATCATAATTGTAGTTTCAAAATTAAAATAGTAGTGTGGATACAGTGACTCTAAAACTGGGAGATTCATCCAATTCAGAGATGAGACCAGGACAGGACTGCCATTTTTCCTGCCTCCTTCAGCAGGTACCCTAACTACTTACTTTACCCTCCTTTACTGTTCTGCCTCTCCCTCAGGACCCCACTGCCCAAACCCAAAGTGGCCTTACTTGATCTTCCTGAACTCATCACAGTCACAGAGGATCAAGTTCATATGCTTATCAAAAGCCTTAAAGGTGCCAATGAAGATACGACCATCTTGCAGGATACATCTCATCCTATAGTCAATGTGCTGCAGCATCTTGCTACTCTTTCCCACAGTCTGGAAGGAGTAAAATAAGAGTTAGTCATCACTTTGTCTGCAGCTACTTTCTAACCCTTTCCTGTTTCTTCCCTACTCCTATACCAATCCAAATTTGGCTGCTTTCTTAAGAAAAACATCATGCAGTCAATCTTTTCTTACCTTTAGGATACTAAATTTGGACCCAGGACCACTTACACTCCGCTATGGAATGGTTTACTATTCAGAATCCCTATGTAGTTTTCCACTGCCCTAAATATATGACACCCCCAATAGAATGCCAAACCCAGTTCTCCCTTTTAGCATACCATCATTCTAAACCTCTGTCCTTTCCCAATTTGAATCCCAAGTCTCACTCACCTACAGAGTACTTGATCCTGAGGACTATTTCTTTTCCCACTAGACACCTAGACAATTGGTGGGAAATTCTTATCTCCATCAAAAACTTTGCAGTTTCCATCAACCCAATGTAAACACAATGTATTATTTTTCAGTTCTCTTTTAAAGGCCTCTATCCTAGCTTACACTCCACCTCTTATGTCATTCAGAACTTTCATCAGTGTTCCTCAAACTTTTAATTTTTTTAAAAGGTGCTACATCCCAAGTGACCACTCCACTGAAATTTTAATATGCAGAAATACTATTTACATACTGTGGACCTCTGGAAGACCCCAAACCACTGTAAAAATCTAAGATTCTTTCTCATTCCTCAAAAACTATTTTTCAATTCTTTTGGATATCCTTCCCATTAAGAATGTATGTTATTGGTTACCTAAACTTAAACAGAACCACAAAATGGATCAGGATGCTGTATCTCTCTAGACTGCTTTCCTTTGTACCAATCAAGCCTCAGAGACCTCCATTTTTCTTCCCCACTGATTCCAAGCCTGTTCCTTGGCTGTGGTTTCGCTGGACCATCCATTTTCAAAGTAGACTTTTCAATCTATTGAAATCTGACCTCTTGAGTCTCTCATCTGCAGGTGATCCCTCACCACTGTAAATATGACCAAAAATTCTTTTGTTTTTCTTCACAATGCAAGATCTCTATAACGGGACAACATACATAGGTTTTCTCCAGTTTTTATTCAATGCAATGAGGTATCATCACTATAGATTAATTCCTTATTAAAAACCCCACAACACCCCACACTCTGGAAATCCAATGTATTAAGAGAGTAGCTTCTCTCCCCTCGACCCTAATGAACATCTTACCATGATTGCTGTTCCACCAAATTCAATGTCCACAGGAAAGTTTCAGGATCCTTAAGACCTAAGGGAAGGCTACAGACAAAGGTATGACGCAGGTTCTCTTACAAACAATGCAAGCTGAGGCAGAAGCTTCAAATAGTAGATGGAGCCTGCAGAGGAAAGCACGATCAAGCTGCACCACATCTACCATGGTTTAAAACAGGCAGAAAATCTTGCATGAAAAGTACTATTTGAGATAGTCAAAATCACCCCCTTTCACTCTTATACCCACCAATTAAACACCAAACTTCACTATTTGATCACCTTATCTCCCATTTTTTGCACACCTATAAGTTACCAGTTTGTTGAATATTATTTTACACAGAAATTCTTAAAAGTTTCAAAAATAAGCTTAATTTTCTATTAATATTCCCAAAATGTAGTATTCTCTTTTTTCCATCCTTATTTTAAGGTGTTTGATTCTCTGGTCACAAATTAATACCAAGTAATCTCAACTTCAACATTTTGGTATTCCTAAATTTCCCCATTTGAATTCCTCCTGAGTTAGGCCAGATTTTGCTCCTTGGCTAAACCACCTAAATGCTTTCAGCCTCAATGTTACCTCCCTGCACCAAGCCAAAGTCCCTTCAGAATAATGCTAGAAAATCTCTCTTCACTAATAATGTAATATACTATCACATACCTGCTTAAGATGTCCTTTGTTAAAAGGCGACATACAACTACTGAATGCTTACATGTATGTACAGTCAACTTTCTTAGTAATCAAAGAAACAAGCATTAGAATACTATCATGTCCCCCTGATATTCTTAAGAAAATGCTTCTAATAAGTATGAGCCAAAACTAGCCAAAACTAGTAAGTGGTCTCAAACTGCTAATTATATTTAAAAAGCAAACACACACATTATGTTCTTTATGAATGGGAATTTGGTTTTACATATAAAAGTAACTCAACATCATAAACAAAATCTAGTATAACTGTACTTTCAACAATGCAAACATTTCAAGTAAGATTGTTATTTCCATTGTTTTCAGTAGAGAAGATTTACAAACAATAAGCTGGTTAAGTAATTTACAATCATCTGTTTTCTTATGTGAAAATAAAATCATTTAAATAGTGGTTAAGATCTATGGCATCATCAAAAAAAGAATGGTGTGTAAAACTATAAAAGATTAGAAGAGAGTTTAATGAAATTATACAAATAATTCAGTAAGGATGGTAAAATGTAGAGGCAGTATTTCCCTACAATTAGCAAAAATTGGTGTCAGTTCAATACATTTTAAAGAGAACTTGGAGGGTATTAGGTTTTCTAAATAAAATAAAATAAAATGACCATTACTCAGAATCTCTCTCCCAAGCTTTGTTCTCCACATGCAAACTGCCATGCATCCTTTGTGCAGCTTTTTCTGTAAGTCAATCCTACCCTCAATAAATGTAGTTTCTTCTTTTCCAATCTGGATTCATTCCTTTTTCGTATCAGACTGCTATGGCTAGGTCTTTCAAAACTATGCTGAATGATAGTGATGAGTGGTGAGAGTGAATAATAGTGGTGAGCTTGGACTCTTCTTATTCCTGAATTTAAAGGAAATGCTTTCAGTTTTTCACCACTGATGATAACATTTGCTCTGAGTTGGTTATATATGACCTTTATTTTGTTGAGGTATGTTCCCTCTATGCCTACTCTCTGGTGAGTTTTTATCATAAATGGGTGTTTAATTCTGTAAAAGGCTTTCTCTGCATCTACTGAGATGGTCATGTGATTTTTATCTTTCAATTTGTTAGTATGGTGAATCATATTGGCTGATTTCTGTATACTGAAGAATCCTTACATCCCTAGATAAAGCCCACTGTTGGATTCTGTTTGCTAGAACATAGTTGAGGATTTTTTCATCTATGTTCATCAGTAATTGGCTTGTAATTTCCTTTTTTTGTGGCATCTTTGTCTGATTTTGGTAACAAGGTGAAGGTAGGGGACATAAAATATCCCACTCACACCAATGGACAGATCATCCAGACAGAAAATCAATAAGGAAACACAAGTTTTAACTGATACAATGGATCAGTTGGACCTAATTGATATCTACAGCATTTCATTAAAAAAAAATAGACTTCACTTTTTCCTCAAGTGCACATGGAACATTCTCCAGGATAGATCACATCCTGGGCCAGAAATCAAACCCTTGGTACATTTTAAAAAGTTGAAATCATTTCAAGCATCTTTTCTGATAAAGCTGTAAGATTAGGTATCAACTACATGAAAAGTACTATAAAAAAACACAAACATATGGAGGTTAAACAACATGCTTCTGAATAACCAACAGATCACTAAAGAAATCAAAAAGGAAATCAAAATACATCTAGAAACAAATGACAATGAAAGCACAACTCAAAATCTATTGGATGCAATAAAAGCAGTGCTAAGAGGGAAATTTATAGATATACAAACCTACCTCCCTCAAGAAAAAAGAGACATCAAATAAACAACCTAATGTTACACCTAAAGTCAACTAGAAAAAGAACAACAACAACAAAAAACCCAAAGCTAGTAGAAGGAAAGAAATCACAAAGATCAGAGAAGAAACAAATGAAAAAGAAATGGAAACTATAGCAAAATTCATTGCAAAGCTGGTTATGTGAGAAGATAAAACTGATGATCCCATCAAGAACAAAAGGGAGAAGACTCAAATCAATAAAATTAAAAATGAAAAAGGAGAAGTTATGACAACACAGAAATACAAAGGATCATAAGGGAATAGTATGAGCAATTACATGCCAATAAAAGGAACAAGTTGGAAGAAATGGAACCAATTCTTGGAAAAGTATAACCTTCCAAACCCGAACCAAGAAGAAACAGAAAATATGAACAGACCAATCACAAGCATGCAAATTGATATTGTAATAAACAATCTTCCAACAAACAAAAGCCCAAGGCCAGATGGCTTCACAGGCAAATTCTATCAAAAGTTTAGAAAACACCTATCCTGCTCAAACTCTTCCAGAAAATTGCAGAGGAAGGAAAACTCCCAAATAAATGACATTTTAATCCAAATTCACATGAAAAGTTTCAGGCCTATAATTTAAATGTTCTGAATTCTGACAGGATTCTCTATACAAGAGCAGTCTGTAAATTGAGGAAACCTTGGTATATGTTTGAACCACTAGCAATTTCCATTTTTATGATGGTGTAGCTAAGATTTAAGATCTTCAGCAATCCATGGAGACAGAAAGTAAGTTAAGTGGTTATCTGAAATAGGGGGTGGAGCTGGGGAATGCATTAAATGGCACAAAGGGATCTTACTCAGGCAACAGAAAACCCTAAAAGGACGTGCGGCAATGGCTGTAACGGCAACCTGCTTATAACTGGGCAAATTCTATGGTATATAAAACATACACCACCAATAAAGCTGTTCTTTTACAGTAAATTGTCTGAACCATCAAATAATCTTCAGAGTTCCTAAGATTACATTTAATATTGATATTAGTGCCTCCAAAGAACAAAAGCAGCTGAATGTTCAATAAGACAGTATTCCTGGCGCTTATTACCAAAGGGAGACATGCTAGTAGACAATGAGCCACAGACAGTGATTACCAGGGGAAAAAAACAGGACTGTATATGACTTTTCAAAATTTCACTTAAAGGAAAGAAATGTAATCACAGAAAGGTTTCTGAAATAAAGATTAATATAATAGGCTTCCCTGGTGGTTCAGACAGTAAAGAATCTGCCTGCAATACAGAAGGCCTCAGTTCGATCCCTGCATCAGGAAGATCCCCTGGAGAAGGGAATTACTACCCATTCCAGTATTCTTGACTGAAGAATTCCATGGATATCAGCACAGTGGGCAATAGTCCATGGGGTCGCAGAGTCAGACATGACTGAGCAACTAATGCTTTTACTTTTCAGCGGGAATCAGTATCAAATGTGCATTTAAGGTGGAAATTTGTAGTCAGTCACCTCTCCAATGAAACTTTATAATTCAGAGACAGGGATTTTACCTTCAATGCCAAAATATTTCAGAGTCCAGATGTCCCAATCAGACACATTCCAAATGTTTTATCCTGCTTGGCATTTCAGTGAACACATACCAAACCAGGTTCATACAGCTTAGCTATAGATCAACAAATGCAAACAAAGATTTCCTGGTATAGTGGATCAGAACACAAAAGGAAGCCAGTCAGGCCTGTATCTGTCCATCTAACCTGCCTGAGGTTCCAAACTCCTCCCACACCCACTATGTTGTTACCATGTATAAAAATGCATCTGGGGATTTGAGTCATGGACTAAAGAACTGGGGACATAAATATGTAATATGTATAAAATAATCCATCCTAATAGGAGATAACATTTCACTCAGAATAGGGGTTGACTAGTTGGAGAAGTTAAGAATGGGCTTCTCTTAATGAGATGGACTTGAAATTTCTCTCATTCCTAAATTCAGCATACTATAATCATGAATCCTTGTGAGGGAAAGGAGATATATTACTTTGTAGAATGATCTGCTTTAAGAGGGAAAAAAAACAAGAGCAGCAATGTTACAATGCACTAAGGAATTAGCAGGTACCATAAATTTCCCGGTGAAAGTGGACATAAACAAATAAATGGTCTGGAGGCCTGACTATATCCTGGGACTTCTCAGGAAGAAACGTTCTCAAACTTTTGAAAAGGGTGGACTTTGAAATGATTAAACTATGTAAATATGTAAAGCTTCCTTAAATCAAAAGATCTGATGGTCAGACTTGGCCAAATAACATACAAAAAATAAGAAGTCACAGAATAATGGTATAGTGTTAGTTCCCATTCACCTGTAAAACAGTTCCTTCACAGAAAAAAAAAATGTGCAAAAAGTCTAACATGAGAAACACAAGTAAGTGGACACTATTAACCACAAATCAATGCCAGTTAAACCAGAGGAAAACAATTTTTCCATTTGGGAAAGTGTTTACTTATCAAAGGGGCAAAAAGAGACATCAAAGGTGGTACTAAGAAATTATCACTGTAGTAATTATTCTTGAACTTTTGAACTGTGGTGTTGGAGAAGACTCTTGATAGTCCCTTGGACTGTAAGGAGATCCAACCAGTCAATCCTAAAGGAAATCAGTCCTGAATATTAAATGGAAGGACTGATGCTGAAGCTGAAACTCCAATACTTTGGCCACCTGATGAGAAGAACTACTTATTAGAAAAGACCCTGATGCTGGGAAAGATTGAAGGCAGGAGGAGAAGGGGATGACAGAAGATGAGATGGTTAGATGGCATCACTGACTCAACAGACATGAGTTTGAGTGGACTCCGGGAGTTGGTGGACAGGTAAGCCTGGCGTGCTGCAATCCACGGGGTCATAAAGAGTCAAGACATCACTGAGTGACTGAACTGAACTGAATTATTCTCGATGGTAATCAATACTGCTTATGATGTTATTAGAAAGGAATGTAACAAAACATTTAAGAACTTACTAATTTTTATACCCTGCATACCCAAACTGAATCCTCATCCTAATAACTTTAAAATACCTAATATACAGTATCTTAAAAATGCAGAATATTCATAATAGCATAGCAAACTAGGGGGAAAAAAAACACAAATACAAAGGAAAAGTAAATCATGAAGGGACCATCATTTATTCATTACAAATGCTATTGAGGATTATGTAATAAAATGAAGGAACATTAATGGTATACATAAGTAGAATAGTTTAAAAGCATGATTACAACTATGTTTTCAAAAGAAAAGCAAATGGGTAAAATGAAAGAAAATTTTAAAAAATGCCACTATGGTTGAAACATGGCTATTTAAAATCTGTGGTTTACTTTCCCATTTTTTAGGCTATCACTCATATGCTTTACATTTTTATAATGAAAAAGAAAACATATCAATTGTTTAAATGTCTTTACCCACTTACATGTATAGCAGACTTTAACAAGACCCTTATCACCAAATTCATCTGATTCTCTACTCTGTACTGTTTACTTCATCTACTCTCCTTATCATGCCTTTCCCTTTGCCACATTCTATGGTACCAACACTCCACTACTGGCTCCACCTTATGTTTTCATCTTTGAAAGTGGTTCTCTAAGAGACTAGCAGACTTTTTTCTTTTAAAGGGCAAGATAATAAATATTGTAGGCTTTGCCTGTCATTCAATCTGTCATGAATACTCCCATCTGCCACCGTACTGTCAATAATATCCACAGGCCATATGTAAACAAATGGATATGGCTCTGTGCCAACAATATTTTACTTATAAAAGCAGGCAATAAATGAGTCAGATACTTTATCAACTCCTGCTGTAAAATAATTCTAGTAACTAGTACTATTTAGATGAAACTAGCACTTAAAACTTAGAAAATTAGATTACTCTACTTGCAGATCATAATTATGATTTAAATAATACTATACAGGAACTTTGAAGAGTATCTAAACTATAAGGGCCAAAAAATTCTTGGTTAAAAGATCAATGATGCACACTTCTTCATGTAAAAATGTTCTTACTCTGGGGGACAGCTGAGGACAATTACCAGATTCCACTGTCTGAAATCAATTCTACTATCTTACAATCAAGTCCAGGCAATTACTGGAGAATGCTGGGTAAAGAATTCAGTAGGGGAGGATTTTTCCTTTTGAAATGATGGCCATAAACAAGCCTAATAAATTTGAGTTGCGGGGTTATACTTTGAATTAGAAATAAAGAAAATCTAGAAGAAAACTCATCTATAAACTTCTTTCCTCTCTTAGCTTCTGAAAAGTCCATATTAAACCTTTTGAATTTAGGTCATTGAAATCTTAAACTTAAAAAAAAGAAAGGAAAAATAAAGCATTTAATCAAAACTAATTGCAATTTCCTAAAAATCTAAGCAACTAACACAAAACGACACTGTAAATAAATCTACATAACATTGACAAATCATGGGTTAATAGTTTTGTTACACTGTCAGATGATTCAAACAAATGAGTAACAAAATATGAGAAAAGAAAACAAAAAATAACTAGTAAATAAGCCTGGGAAAATATTTAGCTTCTCATCTGTTAATGGATGTGATGTGTATTTCTAATTTAATAGAAATAAATTATATGTAATTGACATAATGCAGATGAAAGTGTACCTGGCACTATACTTTCTCATGGCAATAAAGACAAATAATTCGTAATACAATTTAGAACATGAACCTTAATTCAAATTCCTTGACTTATTTTTAAATCTGCATATCCAAGGAAATGATCCTATCTAATGTTTTACAAAAAGCAATTCACTGAAGCTTCATTTCAAACTACCAGCAGAAAAAAAAAGTTCTGTCAGAAAGGAATTATAAAACATATTAGCAGGATATTCAGCAACTATTTATAATGAAATACTTTTCTTATGTTAAGGTGAAATGCAGTACAAGTTAAATATGAATAAAACTAACTAAAAAGCAAAGACTACGTTGTCTAGAAAGTAACTCATGACAAAAGTCTTTCAGGGTGAAAGCATTAAGGTACTGCTTTTACTTTTTTAAACATTCTGCTATGTGTTTATACTTGTATGAAGCCTTTAAGAAAAAATAATTGAATATATCCAAAATAATTAAATGACCTCCAAACATCCTACCCTTTAATTAGTTGTTTAATCCTGATCATGATTTCATCAGCTATAACCTGTTTTTATTTTTCTCTTGAAATCAGCTACCTTGGTGTTCCAATACTGCTTTAACCACCTCTTGGTGTCTCAGCTAAGAATGCCTGTCTCAGTTCTGCCTGGAAATCCACCACAGGTACTTGCTGCTGCTGAGATCGCCTCAGGTACAGGTGACACCTAAGACAAGAGCACAAAACACATAAATGAAAAGACATTTGCCTAAATAGTTAACAATGTGAACATAAAAATACCCTTACATTTAATCCTCATCAAGGTTCAGAGCATACCATTACATTATGAACAAATTATAAAAGAGGAGACTCTCTGCACATAGGAATGTGTAAGAACTGACAGATACTTGCCCTCTTTGGTGATATTACGAAAGAACTTAAAGAGAAAAAAGAGCCCTTTTGGTTTAAAATGCCTTATAAAAGAACCAACAGTATAATAACCATTTCTAGTCTGGAAACAACTCTTTAAACCCTAGGGAGGTAGGGGGTAGGAAGGGTTAAGGCATTTCCAGTGAGACATTTTAATATAGTTATTTATGCTGAAAAGAAGTTACTAACTGAAACAAAGAATTTCCAAGCTACTTAGGTTCTCAGACTATGTAAATCTACCATCCTTTAGTTATCAGGGAATTCTAGAAAAATACTCAACATATTCCTACCTATGAGTAGGACTCTATCTGGCCATGAATCTGATCCCGAGGATAAGAGATACAGGAAATTACACAGGGTTGCTGGCTAACAAGACAAGCATAAATAAATCACCACCCAACAAATTGCCTTCGTTGGTATGTGCTTGCATGCTAAGTCACTTTAGTTGTGTCCAACTTTTTGTGACCCTGTGGACCTCAGCCCACCAGGCTCCTCTGTTCATGGGATTCTCCAGGCAAGAATACTGGAGTGGGTTGCTGTGTCCTCCTCCAAGGGATCTTCCCAGGGATGGAATCCACTTCTCTTACTACACTAGCAGGCAGTTGATAAATACATATGTATGAAAATATTCAGTAACAGCTAGAATTGAAAATGGGACTGTGATAAATGGTTTTCCACTATTTCTATATTTTTAAAATAAGATTTTTAACTGCAGTGCATGGGGTTGCAAAGAGTGGGACATGACTAAGCAACTGAACAACAACATAAAGAATCAGGCTGGACTTTGTTCATGGTTCCTAGGAGGTAATCTCTAATCCTTTGAGTTTAAAAAGTGATAGGAGTGTCTTTGTTATTCTTGGTGGGCCTCTGGGATCACACCCGAGTTAAAGCTAACTAGATAGCTCAGGTTAAAAGCTGGGCTTAGAGAACAGAATATTTATACTGCTTACCTGTTCCTATAATCCACCTATTATCAAAGTGGACAAAGGTGTTTGGAGAAATTATATTATTTTTCTAACTCAAAATTACCCTCAGATTCTAGTTCAGCACCTCCTAGTATTTATACATAACATATACAACAGACATCAGGAAAATGAAGTTGTCTCTTCTTCAAAAGCAATAAAATATTTCCATAGATATGGACAAATGAATGAAACCTAAAGCAGGCTTTTAGAATATTAACATATGACTGTTATACTAATGATTCACACTGATGTTACACTGGATAAAGGCTCTAATAAAATATAACAAATGTAATAGAAACTTTACTCACTAACAAAGATCCTCTCCCAAGAAATCCCCTCCACCCATACCTCTGCCACAGTCTCTAATCTATTTCAAGTTCTTTCTAGAGATTCTGGGAAGGAAAAAAAAATGGCATTACCATATAAAAGAAAGCAGGCAAATGCCTATCATAAATGATAAATTATATAAAATATTCACTCAAAGTATTCCTTTTCAAAATTTAATAAAGGAAAGAATAATGAACTCTGCAAAATAAGTAAAGTAAACAGACATGGGAAAATGGAGAAATCTTTTGCCTTGCCAATAATTTTAAATATGCAAAATACTGAAATTTTTCCATATATTAAACGAGCAAATAATTAAGATATAAAATGCTACCCACATTGTATAATAATTTCTGTAAAAAACTTCATATTTGAAGAAATGAAATAAAATACAAATAAATATTAGTAACAGTTGACCCTTAAACAAGAGTTTGAATTGTGTGGGTCTACTTATACATGTTTTTTCCCCCAATAAATATATTAGGGATTATTTTTTTGGAAATTTCTGACAATTGGGAAAAACTTGCAGACAAACCAGAGCCTAGAAGTATCAAAGAAACAAAGTTAGGTTTGTCATGAACACATAAAATATATACAGATATATATTTAATATAAAAATGTTGTCAGTCAACTGTCTATATTATCAGTAAGGCTTCTAGTCAACAAGAGGCCATTTATAGTTCAATTTGGGAGGACTCAAAAGATACATGGGGATTTTTGCCTATGTGGGGGATTGCAACCCAACTCCTTCATTATTCAAGAGACAACTGTAGTATTAATTTTCAGATTGACCGCTCCTTTCTTCACTGCAATAACTAAGAAATGCAAATAACCTAACTATCCATTAGTAAGATAATGATAAATGTTATTATAGAACGCCTGACATGGAAAGACTCCCAAGGCATATTGTTACAGAATAAATCTTATGTATATAAACAAACATGCCTCCCCACACACACACACTCCATATATGTATACATGAATTCATATTAAAAGGTCTGAAATGATAAGAGATCAAAGTACCTGAGGATTTATCTTTGAGGAGACACAGGGAGGGGAATGGACTAGTGATATTTGATACTCACTGTGTATCTCAAAATTACATATTTTATGAGAAAATTATATTCATATATTAGTAACACCAATACAATTTGAAAATTATTGCTTTAGGAAAGAAAAACAATTTTACCACTGATAACTATCAAGATTTGTGGTAACAACAAAATGCACAAGACCCAATGTAGATTCAGTATGTGTCATGTTGTTGTTATTGTTTTAGCTGCTAAGTTGTGACTATTTAGAAATGTTAATATAGTTTTAATTGAAATGCTCCTTCTAGAAACACATTCATATCCTAAATTTAGAGGAAAATGTATACATTTCAAATGCACTAACTAAAAAAATTCTAAAGATTGCAGAGCAAACATGAACACATAAATTTACATCTCTTCAAAGCATATAACATTTGGCAAGCACAACAAAAGTGTAACAAATAATAAAGCAGAAACAATTTTAATATAAATATGTTGAAGGAGGTAGAACTTTATGAACATACCGTGTTACCTACACATGTATAGAAAAAAGGAAATACATGTCACTAAAATTTTAGCAAAAGTTAAGTTATGACAACATGGTTATGGATGATTTAATTGCTTTTTTACTATATCAATATAACATGCACAAGCTTCTTTCATTAATTAAATTCATTTAAATTCCCTGTGGTAGGATAGTTTGTTCCAATTTGAAAACACCCTAAACTGGTTCTCAGGGCCTGACTGTACTCACTCCTGGTTGCTCAGTGAGGCTGTCCTTCTACGTTTGACTTGGACTTCCACCTCTGGCACGTGCTGTTCTGTAGTCCGTCTCAAGTGTAAACGGTCCCTGAGGTACAAAGAGGATTTGTTTTACAGACTTCATCAATTTCTGAAATAACCACTTACTTAAAGATTATACATATATCTAGTAAAATGGAATTTTTAAACTCCATCTAAGCTAATCTAATTAAAGCAAGGTATGGTGATATATGCCAATTACAAATCAATAAAACAGACAAAGGCAGAATTAAATATTAGAAGATCTTTATCCATCAATGATCAGAATCTAGCCCAAAACTACTTTCTCCCTTTAGATTCCCCTTGACATCAGAAAACTTCAAAGGAAAAATATCAAAAAAGTAAGCAAATCTGTGTATTCCTACATATACTCACATATACAGATATAACACTATATATTTACAGATATATTTACATACAAATAAATGTACATATCCCTGAAAAAATGACAAAAATGATTTGAAAATTATTTTATTATCCTTCTATATAGTGGAATAAAGTATAAAATTTAAATTACAAAATGTCTATTTAAGTAATCTCTTGTGTGAATGGTTCCTTCTTAGGATTTGAGAAACAAGAAATTTTTTAAATACTTAAAAAAAAAAAACCATAGCCACTGACAGTATAATCTGCAGAATAGCTCACAAAATGGCTGCTTAAGGGATCTGAACAGGAAATCTGTTCAGCACTTGGATCACAGATTAGAAACTACAGGAACTGAAATTTTAAAATGTCAACTCAAAACAGAGATAAGGAAATGCATTTTACACAAGTCATGCAATATAACAATTCACAGGCAGATTTCAAAGGACACATTCCGAAAGATTATTTCCTGAACCCATGCTATTTTACATTTCATATTAGATTATGCAAAATAAACAAAATAGTTTACCAATAATCCCGATTTGCTCCCAAAACTTTAATGTTCTAATCAAGCAGTAGAAAAGGTCATTTTAAAAAAAAATACCTTTGCTAATCTCCTTGACCTTTGGACCTTTGGTTAAGTAATATTTTCTTAGATTATATTGACATAATAATCTTAGATTATTATGACACCTAAAGTAACTAATGGAGAAAGGAATTCATAGCATTTCACCAAAAGTGAAAAGTCTGCTTCAAAAGACACTCAGAAAAACAATTAGAAGCGTGGGAGAAAATATATGCAAATTATATATGGGATGAAAGTCTTTTATCCAAAATATATCAAGTATTAGTATTAGTCGCTCAGTCGTGTTTGATTTTTTGCGACCCCATGGACTACATGTAGCCCACCAGGCTCCTCTGTCCATGGGATTCTCTAGGCAAAAATACTGGAGTGGGTGGCCATTTCCTCCTCCAGATATAAAGAACTCTAGAGAGATATAAAGAACTGTTACAACTCAAAAATATGTTAACAAAACTCAATTTTAAAATGAGTAAATGGGGAGTCACTGATGGCTCAGTGGTAAAGAATCCACCTGCCAATGCAGAAAACACAAGTTCCATACTTGGTATGGGAAGATCCCACATACAGACCATGAAGCTGCTAAGTCCCTACACCACAACTTTTGAGCCTGTGCTTTAGGGCCTAGGAACAGAAACAACTGAAGCCCAGATGCCCCAGAGCCAGCCTCCACAAGAGAAGCCACAGGAAGGAGAAGACCTTTCACTGCAACTTAAGAGAACAGCCCCAGCTCACCACAACTAGAGAAAAGCTTGTGCAAAAATGAAGACCCAGCACAGCTATAAAATTAATAAATGAATTACAAAAAATAAAATGAGTAAAGGACTCAAACAGATCGCTTTCCAAAAGCATAAAAATTTCCCTTAACACAAGAAAAGATGCTCAATATGAGGGCCATTAGGAAAACACAAATCAAAACCACAAACACCACTTCACACCACAGGAGTAGGATGTGGAGAAACTGGAGAAATGAAAAATTTATACAACCCTGGCACTTCTTAAAAATGTTGAGCATATTAACATGTGACCCAGTATTTCCACTCCAAGCTTGGAGTGAAATAAAAACTCAAACTTGAACATAAAAGTTCCTAGCAGTGTTAGTTGTAATAGCCAAAAACAGAAATAACCCAAAGTATAAATGATGAATGCATAAACAAAATACGGTGTGGTATGGTATCTCATACAATGGAATACCATTCAGTCATAAAAAAGGATGAAATACTGATACACAAGATGGTAGTTTCAAACATAGTTACTAATACATTAATACAGTAAAAAGAATTATAAACCTCTGCTTTGCCATAGACCTCTGCTTTATCATAGACCACCCATTATTAATGGAAGCTTAACTGAGAACACCCCATTATCCATCCCACCCCTCAGAAAAAATCTTCAGTTCCTTTATGTAACCTGAAGGTCTGTGTTCAATTGAGAAAAGAATCAGTATATAAAGGTATTTTTTTTTAATTTTCAAAGATTTTTAAAGCTACATGCAAAATCAGTGATGAGTAGCTTTATTTTGAACTTTGTTCTAAACACACATATGTACATTTGTAATGTCCCTAACTGCATTTCCAACTCAGAAGCCGACATTTCAGAAAATCCAGCATTTAAGGAGAAAAAAATGTTACATGTACACAATGTAAATTTTTCACTCCAAAATCCCTTTCACTAAAAAATTAATACTAATCTGGAAATATGGGCTTCTCAGATGGCTCCATGGTAAAGAGGCCACCTGTCGAGCAGGAGACTCTGGTTCAATCCCTGAAAAGATCCCCAGGAGAAGAAAATGGCAACCAATTCCAGTATTCTTGCCTAATAAATCCCACGGACAGAGGAGCCTGGCTATCATCCATGGATTCCAAAAAAAGTCAAGACATGAGTTACCAACTAAAACAAAAACAGATTTGAAAATATACTGAAAAAGCAAAAGATGATGAGATATGATAAGGTTTTTTCCTGTCTAATAGTCTATCAAATATTCAGGATTCCTTATACAGCCCCCCCCCACAAAAAGTAATAACTCAATGACTAAGACCTCAAGAATGAGAAATAAAAAGATAGTGTGAGGTAATGCCAGGAATTCCCCTCCCATGTTAGTGGGAATTCCCCACTAACATGCAAATCAGTGCCTCCAAAAACAAAACCTTTAGAATCAAAGAGAATTCTGAGCCAGCCAGCACCCAGGAACCAGAAAATAAAACTTCTCTGCCCACCCTTATTAGTGAAGTATGATGCCTTAACCATCAACAACTCCTGTTCAAAGTACCTTGCCTTAGAAAACAACACATAGTCCTTGCTCTAAACTTCAGACAGGTCTCATATTCCTTTCCCATTCTTAAAAAGCTGTGGTACTATGCCAAATATTCCACAAGGCAGGACAGAGACCTTCAAACTTCAGGTCTTTCCACAGGGTCCGCCATATTGAGGTCCTAAGTCAGAGGGCAAGACTACAAAATGGCGGACCAGGATGATGCACTCTCATCTCGCAAAGGGCCAAATGATCAGATGTTCATATTTGAAGCAGTATCTTCCTACAAGCAAAAAAAAAAAAAAAATGCAAATCATAAGTATCACAAAATACCAGAGTCCTGCTATTTTTCAAGCTACTAGAAAATAAACAATTCCAGAACAAAGCTTCCAAAGCTTAATTTACATTTCCCTTAATTACATTCTAACTGGGCACAAAAGCAGGCATACTGTTTGTGATAAATGTGTAAAAAAGGCAAGCACATCAAAATTCTGCAAGGAAAATCCTTAAAAATGCCCCCAAAATCAAAGTATGGGAATAGTAATACAATAGTCATGATACAGGAATAGTTACTTTGTTAATTACCCCTTCTCAGCGAATATTCATAGCAGCTCCAACTTCAAAAAAAATGGAACAAAAATAATAATTAAAAAATCAAGAGAAAGGGGATATGTACACACACAGCTGAACACGTGAGCAACTGTGAAGTTGCTGTACAGCAGAAACTAGCACAGTATTGTAAAGCAAATATATTCCAAATTTTTTAAAAAGTCCAATCAAGGGCAAGAATTCACTAATCCCAGATAAACCTAGGACTCACATTCTACATTTTTCTCTGCTGTTCTCCTTGAACAAACAACTCATAGACCTCAGTTCCTAAGTCTTAGAGGAGCCTTGATCCCCTGATTTAAGGAAATTATAAAGGTAACATCACCAATGGATTATCTAGCGATCAAGAAATAGGACAGACAGGTAAGGAAAATGTAGCTATGGAATTATATAATCTAGAAAACTCTAATAAGAGATTAAAGGAATGAGTTGTCTAAAAGGCTAACTGAATCCACTTAATACAGTGAACAATTAAGACTGCTCACAGCACCACCTAAGGCAAATAAGCAAAACTGGAAAAGCTCCTGCACCAGTGATGGAGGCTGTCTTTTAAGTAGCATAGTGAATCCCAAAATGCACTCACCTCTCTTGGCCTCCAAGCCCTCACCTCTCCCTCAAGAGCTAGGAGAAGGCCAAGGGCACAGTGCAGCTGCCCTGACATTTCAGGCAGGCACAGGATGGAAAAATTGTGCAACTCTCTGGCCTACCTGCTCCACTCCATCATGGCACTGCAGGGAAGGGGTGACTTACAAGCCAGAGGCTGCGCAAACCTGTGTTCTTCCTCTCCCAAGTCCACTCCAGCAGAGCAGGGAAGGGACAGGGACGGGGCACGTAAGTGTAGGCGGTGGCGGGCCGCCCCGCACAGTGGAAACTGCACAAATCCCCTCCCCTAGTGCACGTCAGAGGTGGTGTCATCACTGACGCGCCTGCGCACCCCGAGCCCACACCTTCCGTACTGCAGCACCAGGGTGCGGCAGCCGCCCCCGACTCCCCGGTCCGCCTCTCCCTCTTTGCGCACAGCTCTCTGGAGGGCGCAGCCGACCCCCCGCCTGGAGGCGGCAGGACCGCTCCTCCCCCACTGCGGCACCGCGGGGAGGGCCGCGCTCCCACTCCACGCCTGCCCAGAACCGCACAGCTGCGGCGGCCGCCATCTTCGCAGAGCCGCACAAAGGTTGTGACGCTACACCGACCGCCACGCTCCTGAGCTGGCCTTCGAAACTCATTCCAAACGCAGGGAAAACGCATGTGAACACGCATGTGAACGAGAAACGCCTCTGGCTGTCACATACCAGAACCTGGCAGGTCCCCAAAAAGATGCATTAGATGGGCTGTGAATAACACATCCCTCCTCTTACACCAAGCTCAAAAATGTGAGATAGTTAAAGGAATCAAGTACATGAGGATTGGACATTTTTGCAGCCACCCCTTCAATTTAGGGACAGGGTAGTTTTGCCACGCTATTCAAACTCTAAAAGCACTGCCAGTCACGAGAACACTGAACAGTTTTCTCCCTTGTCTTCAAACAGATGGTATCCTCCACCTGCGTGCCCCCACCTGCTCACCCTCTCACTCTTACCAGTGTCCAGACGACCACGCCGCAAGACTGCTTTGTCGCGCCCCCACCGCCACTCTGCGGCCCCAACGTCGCCGGCACCCCACCACTCCCACATACCGAGGCCACAGAGGGACCCCACCGCACTCTCGTGGCCCACTTCACCCCCCACGAGCAGCCCGGTCTTTCGGCCGCCCCCTCAATAGCCGCCACCATGGCCACCCCGTTCCCCCTCATCACTGCCGCGGGGCCCACCCCAACCACTCCCTCCTGCTGATGCCACACATCAGCGCCTCTGCGGACGCGGCACCTGCTGCCGCCTCACGGCCGCTGTGGACACCGCTGACCCCGCCCTCCCCTGACTGTCGCATCGTGGCCACCCGCGGTCACGGCGTCAACCACAGGAACAAAGGGCCACCCCAGAGAGTCTGAGGGGGCGCAACATGACGGTGCAGATACCCCCGAGACCTGACAAGACACGGTCGGGAGAGTCACTCCAGCCCCAAGCCTCCAGAAGTTGTTCCATCCAGCTACTGGACAAAGAACTTGCTTGCCCAGATCCCCAGTAAATACTGAAATACTTCTAGTTCTGGAAGCTCAGGATGATTAAAAAAAAATGTTGCCCACCACGCGGCTGACCTGGCCCGCTCCATTGCGCCGCTGGCCGCTCCTCAGAACAGAACGTCACGCATCTCTGGCTGGCAGACAGCGCTGCGCTCCTCTGCCGCCACGGCACCACTCCGCGGACTCCGCCTGCGCATGCGCGGCAAGCCGCCCTGCTCCCTGCGGCCGGACTCTGCCGCGCCTGCGCAGTCTGTTTGCCGCAGTGGCGCGGCTCTGCGGCACTGCAGGTGACGCGGGACTGCCCAGGCAGGGAAATCGGGGTTGGTGTCTACCCCACCCCGGTGGTCAAAGTCCTATGACCTTTGGGGTGGGGGAGCTCTAGGGACCACCATGAACCGGCAGTTAATGGCTCTTAGAATCGCACCAAGTGTTACAGTAGTATTTCGACCCAGAGTGGTACCTCCCAGTGGAGTGGGAACTGGGTATTTCCTTTTTGTGAACATTTGTAAAGTCCGTACCTTATTCAGGTTTCCTCAGGTTTTCCACTGGTGAGCTTATCCTGTTGCAAGGTAACATATTATGTTACGTTTATATGTCTTATATACACACATAAAGCAAGTCATGATTTTGTTAAACTCTTCTTTACTGTGACATTTTAATCTATTTAAATTTTTTTTTACCATGTTTGTATTTTTACAAACTTTCAGAATTAAAGTATTATTAAGATAAAACAAAATTAAACTTAATTCTAAGCTCTAATGTACTTGCTGTCAATTTCCTTGACCCATCTTCACCCTTTTCTAGCCTGCTCTTTCTGCCAGTCTGCCCAGACTCCTAATTTCGTGGCTGCTCAGTATTCCCTGGTGGCTAAGACAGTAAAGAATCTGCCTGCAATGCTGGAGACCTGGGTTCGATCCCTGGGTTGGGAGGTTCCCCTGGAGGAGGGCATACAACCTACTCCAGTATTCTTGCCTGGAGAAGCCCATGCACAGAGAGCCTAGCGGGATACAGTCCATGGGGGTCACAAAGAGTCGGACATGACTGAGCAACTAAGTACTATAGTTAAGAACCTGGCTTTGGATGGCGGGAAAGGCATGATAGGATCCCGACATTACAAGTGACACAGAGAGAGTGGCCATTTTGGCTCACTCATTTATTGAAAGAGAATTTTAAAAATCAGTTTGTAGGGGTGTGCATATCCTGCAATTAGCAACTGAATATACAGAAAAGGAGACTTTCTAGCAAAATGATGTTGCCCAACCAGCCCCCCCCCCTTTTTTTTAAGTGTAGGCATCACAATTTAAACACTCAGATATGAACTTAAAAGACATCAAATCTAGACTATAATTATTCTCTATGCAACTGAAACTGGAGTCTGCAAAAAGTGATCAGAGCTCCTACATCACAGACAGTATACAAAAATGAACTCCAAATGGATATGGATGAAAGTTTGTTTGTAAGAGTAAAATGCAAATCTCTTAGGAGGAAACGAAGACGTAAACCTGTGATTCTGACTGAAGGAATGGTTTCTTAGATACACCAAATGCACAAGCACCCTAAATAAATAAATAAATAAATAAATTGGACTTCATCACAAATACATTGTTTTTGCTTGAAAGATTAAAAAAATGAAAAGACAGCCAGCATAATAGTAAAAAAAAAATTTGCAAATCATAATGCTATCTGATAAAGGAAGACTTACAATTCAAAACTAAAAAGACAAAAGATTTAATGGGCAAAGGATTTGAATTTGATAATTTACCCAAAACTGGAAAACAAATGGCCAATCACCACATGAAAGGATGCTCAGGATCATTAATTCTTAGAGAAGTACAAATGAATGGCTTCATGAAATATGAATTCAGACTCAGTAGGAGGGCTATAATCAGAAAGACAATAACAAGTGTTAAGGAGGATGTGGAGAAATTGGAAAGCTTTCAAAACAGCTCATAGAAATGTAAAATAGTATAGTCACTTAGGAAGAGTTTGGGAGTACCTAAAATTTTAACCATGAAGTTACCCTATGTTCCCCTCTAGAGTTCTGTTCCTAAGTATGTAACCCAAAATAAATGAAAACACACATCTGCAAAAAGTTATACATGAATTTGCATAGCAACCCTGCTATCATAGTCAGAAGTGGAAATAACCCAAATGTCTATCAACTGGTAAATGGATAAGCAAAATATATGATATGGTGTAACTGTACAAAAGAATAGCATTTGGTCATTAAAAGGAATGAAATATTGATTCATGCTACAAAATGGATGAACCCTGAATATGTTAAGTGAAAGGCTGCATTCTTTTATGTGTCCATTAAATGAATTGTTCAAAATAGGCAAATCCATAAAGTTGGAAAACTGATTAGTAATTGCCAGGAAATGAAAGAAAGAAAAAATGGAGATGGACTGCTAATTGTTAAAGTGTTTCTTTACAGAATGATGAAATGTTCTGGATTTGGATAGTTGGGAGGGTTTTTTAAACATTGTGAATACATTAAAAAGCACTGAATTGTGTAATTTTTAAAAGATTTTTTTGTATGTGCATTATAAATTAATTTCTTTTTAATCCCAATTGAGGGACAGTCTACAAAATACCTGACTAGTAATTGCCAAAACTGTCAAGAGCATCAAAAACAAAGGCTGAGAAACTTTCTGAGTCTTATCTTAACCAAGAAGAGCCTTGAGACAGGAGTACTAAATGTAATATATCATCCTGAATGAGATCTTGGACATCATGGAGAAACTGAGGACATATGAATAAACCATAAACTTCTGTTAATAATAATGTACCAATATTGGTTCATTATTGTAATTAATGTACCATACAAATGTAACATATTGATAATAGGGGAATATATGTATGAGATATAGGGGAACTATCTGTTCTACCTTCAAAATAATTATGTAAATATAAAAGTATTCTGAAGTTAAATTTGGTTAAGGGAATAAACCTGATCAGAAAATGACATGCAAAAATGTTCTAACATGGTCACCTATAGAAGTAGGCTCACATACAAGGGAAGAAGGGAGATTTTCTACTGAAAAAAAAAAATCTCTCTAATTTGAAAGAGTTTTTTCTGTAATTTGAATTTATGAACTATATGAAGTAAAAAGTAAAGGGAACAGAAAAAGTTGTTCAAAGAAACTTGTCTGGCAAAAGACAGTAAAGTTAAAAGTGAAAACAGAAGAGAACTCGTTTACTATATACTTAGATAATAAATTATCATTAATTCTGTATCATTAATGAATCATTAATTGTCATTAATTATCACTACAGCCAGAACGTATAGAAATCAATAAGGAAAAGGGAACCTCAAAGAAAAAAGTGCAAGGATGCCCAATCATTATAAAGTATGTTCCAGGTACTTTAACACTAGTTCAAATAACAACCATATGACAAATTTCAAATCTCCATCTCTTTCACAAGTTAGGAAATTGAGACACAGAGCAGCAAAATCCACACACAAAGTCATACAGCTCATAGGTGGTTGAGCTCAGATTCAAGCCCAGCACCCTGGCTCCAATACCCCTGTGCTCTTAACCACTACTCTTAACCATCTGTAATGGACTACCCGTCTTGTAGGGGTAATGGCTCTGTTCATTATAATCTTAATTCCACAACCGATGTGCACAAATCCACATATAAGAACCTTAAGCTCAAGCAGAAAGCTGGATGAAAAGAGAAAACAACAGAAAAACCTAAAAGTGCCCCCTTATTCTCCTTACTTAAGGCACTGGGAGGGAGGCCTGGCAAGCTGCAGTCCATGGGGTTGCAAAGAGTCGGACACGACTGAGGGACTGAACTGAACTGAGCTGAACTGAAGGGGGTGACAGAGGATGAAATGGTTGGATGGCATCACCAATGCGATGGACATGAGTCTGAGTAGGCTCCAGGAGTTGGTGATGGACAGGGAAGCCTGGCGTGCTGCAGTGCATGGGGTCACAGAGTTGGACACATCTGAGTGACTGAACTGAACTGAAGGCACTGGGTGGCAGTCTTTCACTACAGGCACAGCTGGTTCACAAGAAGCTCAACAGGAGAGGGAAATCTTTGCGGCAGGCCCCCTCCCCCACCTTGGGAACAGCAGGAGGGAGATTCTCCTACTACCAGCCTTCTAGGAAAGTCCCAGGACCAACTCAGGAAGAGGCTGGTCAGGGGAAGAAAGTACCTACTTGTTCAGAAACAAAACACACACAATAAAAAGATACTTTTCCACCCACAGATTCTATATACATTCTCACTATGTCTCCAGATTTGGGGGCAAGAATTCTCTTGATGTGGTCAAACGACCACATCACATCCCACCTACAACTTAGCATTTTTTTAATGGTTGGGGAATCAAAAGAAAGAATATTTTGTGATACAAAAATTATATGAAGTTCAAATTTCAGTATCCAGGAATAAAGTGCATGCAGAACATAGCTGAATAGAAAAACCCAGACTTTTCCCAAGTAAGGAAAAATAAAGGTCCCTTTAGCCTTACACAATTATCATCCTCACATAGAATATTTCACTTCTGACATTTCCATCACCAAATATGTGTTGGGTTTTCTCTAAACCAAGCAATTATCCATTATACCAGCTGAATGTCTTACAATTTAACTCAATTCTAATATTATCTACCTGGATATAGTGTCAGGTAACACAGGTCAGAGCCCACAGCTCAGTTCTACAAGACTACTCCTACCCCGCGTCAGATGCCAAGTGCAAGGAATACTCGCCACATTACCCGTAACTTCCGTGGACAAAGAATGTAGCCTGCTATAGCAGTAAACAAAGGAGGTGGCCACCATCAAGCCATCACCCTCTGCAGCCACCCCCAGCTATGCACCCTGAGGGGGTTCAGGATGGAGAAAAACAGGATGTTGACCCTATATGGTAAAGGTGCACATCAAAGGAATGATTTCAGTGAGCCCAGACTCTCACATCTTCCCAAACATAGAAAAAGTGTTAAGTTCATTAACTTGAGATATCTGGTTTTTCTCTAATTAACAGCAGACTTTTAATATTCCTACCACCTGGCTGTTGGGTGGGACGTTGGTTGATTGTTTTTTGTAAAAGCTCCTAAATATCTTGGCTCCTTCTTTAC